GGGAATGTTATCGGCTGTAAAATTAAAGTCAAATATCTTTGCTTTCCTTTGCGTTTTGAATTCACAATTTCTACTGTAAATAGCCACAAATATATGTTTTTTTTTCTTGTTTTATCAGCCTTTTGCTGATAAATTTATTAATTTACTAATATATATATATACATGCTGTGTATATGTTCACTCCAGATCTACAAAATTTGCTTTACAAGAAATGTTTCTTCAATCGCTTCATTGGTATAGTTTCCAGAGTGCTTTGTTAAAAATATAATTCTGAACGTTATTAATTTCCCATCCCCCATCAAATCCTGGGTATTAATAAGCAACTAGTTAGTAGTTTATTTTGTTTCTGAATGTTAGGCATTGCGTGCCCAGAAGCAATAAATTACAAAACTTCCGCCTGCACCGTTTGATGGCGCCTGAAATGAACTTCAGGAGACTTTACATTACTGTAACGAATATATTAGGCTAGATATTTCGTTTCTATGGTAACTATGCTGTTATACAAATAGTATGATTGCAGCATATAATAATGAAGTGAAGTAAAATCACACTTAAAATTTGAATAGTTGAGTCAGTAACTGTATGGATTACGAATTATTTAAATTTACTTGGAAGTTTTGGCTTCAGTGTCTCAAAGCGTTTTTTAACATTCCTTACCAGAACGTATAGTTTTTGTATGGATACTTATGGGTAATTTTGATATTTATACTGTCAATAGTTTCTCAAACATAAAACATGCAAGAGGTTTTATTTTTTTACGATTGAAAAATTAAATAATTGAATCTTTACAAACTTGAACGATAAGACAAAATTCATCCACACTGATCGATGAATGGTTTCCTTATATTAATAACTAGAATTCTTGAGGAAATTAAAAGTTATTGAATGTATTTATATACCCAGAGGAATATACGTTGTGTAATCTTTGTTTCTTCTTATGCCTGATGTTTTCAGTTCGCCTAATTATTAAATACAGTTGTGTCTTCATCACTAATTACAACAGTTCGTGCATTTTTTTCCTCATAGTTTTGAAACACATTAATTCAGTATTATAGTAACTGTGAACATAATTGTTTGATCTTCGCTTCCAACATTTGGTCAACTATTTATTGGCTAAGACTTCCGTCAATGTTCAGCATAGGCGAAACTCATTTGTCACGTGATAGCTATTAGAATAAACAGTGTTTCAAATTATTCGGTAATTCTTTTAAAGTTTGACCTTTTATACTTCTTTCAACTCCTACGATTATGCAAGTATGGTTTTCGTCAGACACTTTATTATGTATAGGTTGGGTGTAATATGGTAGTTAGTGCTAGGCTATGACTTGGGAAGACCAAGGTTCAAACCCGCGATATGCTGATGAACACGTTTCGCACTTGCAGCGGTGGGCGTATTACAGAAGTAACGGTCAGTCCCGATATTCGGTTAAGAGTAACCATGTAGGCGTTGAGCACTACTAATTCTTTGCCTTTTCTCTAGTTAGCAGCTCTAAATTAAGAACAATTAAGTCTGAGTCTTGGGGTCTCTGACCTGGCCTTTTAATCAGTGTGTCGTATAAGGTACACAAGTTGCAAATACCAAATTCAAAATATCACTATGTAAACAAAGATGAAGTTTTTGATTCTTTTGTGTTTGTAATTTAGAATGGCCTTTTTTTAAATTCAAAACTCCTTCATTTTATATACAGCTAAATACGTTTCTAATAGAAAATAAATCTGTTCAGTAAAACAACAACGACAAAAAGCAGACGCTGAGGGGAAAAATAAATACAGTGTATAATCCAAAGAAATTATCCAGGTATTTACCTTGAACTGTTGTGGAGAATGGCTTCTTTGTTATGGTAGTACCACTGTACAGACACAGCATTTTCATATACACAGTCAAACACAGCAGTATCGTCCTTCCTTACAGTAACGTCTTGTGGAAGCTTCAGAATACATGGCACCTGTTTACCTGGAAGTCATTATGATATATACTGTTTACATATTTATCACTAGATTCCTTTATTTACTGACGGCCATTAGCTACTGTATTTTGATTACCACTTTGAAGGCCTATGTATATAACGGGAATCACTGTGTGCACAAATTCTGATTAGAAATATGAAACTGAATGTGACATAGTTTACTGGAAACTTATAATGATTATATTTTACTACATCTAATTTCCACAAGTGAATTTTAAGGCTAGTCCTGTTCAAAACAACATGTAAAATATCCACAAATTAGATATGCTTCTGTTACAACGAAAATTGTATATAACTGAGTTAATAACTGTGATTAACATAAGACACAATAAAAGTTGAATCGCTATATTTTGTCAAGTAATACGCTAAACAATTCCATGAAGTAAAAGTTGGAACATCCATCAATATTATATTTAAGGACATTGAGTTTCTATTTGCACTATTTTCCGCTGAGATTAAACAACTAACACTATAGCACTACATTACGTTCATATAACAAAGTTGTTTTCGAATATTCGGCACTGTAGTTTTCGTGGTTGGCGTTAGACCATCTTGTTATGTTAAACAAAAAATTAAATCATTCATTGCTTTATTGGAATGTAACTTCAATACTTGTTTCCAAGTTCTTTTATATCTCTCTTTAAAAAAATGTACGACCCACTTTTTAAACGAAGGGCAAAGTTGTTGGTGCTTTCTAAAACCCCAGCTTCATTAACACCACGACAGGAATAAATGCCGTTATCTTCAAGGGTCAGTTTGTGAATGTGGAGTCGTCTGTGGCGAATGGATACCCTGTTGCTTCTGGAGATCTTGTTACCATTGTGGAACCACTCGTAGCTGATGTTAGAGCTTCCATCAGCTTTACATCGGAGTACCAGCTCTCTGCCGGGAACCAAGTCCTTTTCTCGAGGTGGATTGTGAAGCTGGACTTCGGCCACGTCACTGATCCCTGTAGAGGAAAAAAAAATAATAGTTGGATTTTGCGTGAGCCGAGAGCCATGTATATATATATATATGTTGCATTAGTGTTTGCGATTACATTATTTCTGTCGACTGTTGTATTTTTTAAAGATAAAAACACGTCGTAATAGCACTCAGCATGAAAAAGCTAACGTTATACAGAGTTCAGGAGGATGCTGTCTTCAACTCCTTAACTGTACGTGTGATGTTTTTAACTGAATTTTTCACCTAATCTGGTGTAAAGGTAAATATAGTTAGAGATTAATCGTTTAAGCTAAATAGTTCAAATGTCAAACTCACACAAAATTGCCATCCCAGTGGCTCAGCGGAAAGTTTGAAGGCTAATAATGCTTAAATTAGGGGATTGATCATTGCGGTAAGGAATACGCAGATCATTGTGCAGTATTGAACTTAAAAAGAACACTTCATCATAACGAAGTTAAATGTAAAAATTGATTAGTGATCAAATGCTGCAAAACATTTTTACAATATGTTGCCTGAGTGAAAATGCTTTGGTACATAAGTATCACTCCACGATCAGTTAAGTAGTGGCAGACGAAAACCCGATTTCATGTACCTTGATATAAACAAGGATCCAGCAGCACTTTGAACCAAGATGAAAAGATATTGTACAGACAACTTCTCTAAATGCCATAGACTGACACAATATATACTGTATCAAGTTCATACAATCTTCTTACAGAGTCAAACTCAGAAATTACAAGACAGACCTTTCAGGATATCAGTCATTTGCAATGTATCATCAGACTTCAGTTTGCTATTCTCTTTGTTCATGATGTATCATCGCACAGTGTATTAATGTTATCTGTTTTTTTTTTTCAAAAATATATCTTGTTTTTCTTATCTAGTATTCCTGGAATTAAAAAGAGATGACTAGCACATCTGGAGAATATGTTCTCCTGGTGGTTTTAGTCAGTACTACAATAATAAGATTGTTATATACTTACCATCTGCTCGCGTATGTAATGAAAAATGATACTATATTAATAAAAATAAATACCGAAGTGTATTAAACTCACAATATGTTTTTTAATATCATTCAGTATATATTAGTATACACTCAAGTTTGAAGGCAACTATCAAAAATAGCTTTAAGTATTTAATTTTGCAACTAATTTTTAATACAATATTCAGTGCTCGAGAAAAATAACTCTGGAAAGGCAAACCTTTCAACAGAAAGATTAAGAAATAAATAACCAGTGAATTGTCAGAGTTAATTAAAATTAAAATGACATCAACGAAGAAGAGCACAAATTCGAAAAAAAACAATGGTTATATACTCACGTTTTACATATAAGGTAATTATAAAGAAAACTCCGAATTTAAAATGATATTATCTGAAAACCAAATTTTTATCAGAGGTACATTGAGATTCAGCAGATTTACCCAAGAAAGTTTGAACATGATAAATGCGTTTAAAAATCTGTCACAGAAAGTGTTCATCATGCTTTTCGTCATTCTTAATCAGCGTATCCAGCATATCCTTGAATCAAGTTAATGTAATTATCGTCTGTTCTGGATAGTATTAATTTATTCTCGCAGTATCTTGTGCGTTGTTACACATTTTATTCAAATTAAGATTCTCGTATTGGAGAAAGAGAGGGGAGGAAGAAAAATAAAAGTAATGCTACTTTGACAAAAAAGAAACGAGATTTAGGTGTGCAATATAGCATAGTTTTGAAACACTAAATGAAATTTATGGTTTTTAATGTGCCTTCGAATAAATTTTGTTATTCTCGAGCAAACAGTTTTCAATGCGCGGTCAATTATAGATATGGAGTTACCTTTATAATCACATTACTGTCATAAGCCTTGAAAAATTGGCAAAATAACCAACCAGTAAATTCCAGAATTAAACACATCAACTATACGTTATGAAAACGTATTTTTAATACAGTTTTGATAAGGTTTAAATATTTTTTAAATTTTTACTTATCAATGTTTCTAAATGATAAGCCAAATATTGAAAATCATTTTTACATTTTAAAAATATAGTTGTCGTTAATGGTACAGATTTATTAAAGATGAATTATTTATATAAGTAGAGATGGTCCCTACTCTAAACATCTGATGCAAAAAATAATATGGGATTACAAAGGTTTGATAAAACTTCTTAAAAACAAAATATTCAATGAAAATTACCATGATAAACGTTGTTGCTGATATTAATAACATTACCGAAGAGCCTTGACTTCATTATCTATACTACAAACTGTCTTTATACAACAGTAATAAGACGATTAAGTTACTAAACCACACTCGTGACATCTTACAACTATCACAAGTTACTCAACCTACTTACTGTTACTCGTGACATCTTACAACTATCACAAGTTACTCAACCTACTTACTGTTACTCGTGACATCTTACAACTATCACAAGTTACTCAACCTACTTACTGTTACTCGTGACATCTTACAACTATCATAAGGTACTCAACCTACTTACTGTTACTCGTGACATCTTACAACTATCACAAGTTACTCAACCTACTTACTGTTACTCGTGACATCTTACAACTATCACAAGTTACTCAACCTACTTACTGTTACTCGTGACATCTTACAACTATCACAAGGTACTCAACCTACTTACTGTTACTCGTGACATCTTACAACTATCACAAGTTACTCAACCTACTTACTGTTACTCGTGACATCTTACAACTATCGTAAGGTACTCGACCAACATTAAATATATGTAGACATAAATGCATACAACACTAGAAATTCTTTTTTTGAAACTATAGCTATAGTTGTGAAGACAGACACAACATGTTGTTCCTTCGTTCTGCCTACAGTTACCTTCTTAAATAGCTGTATAATATTTTCATTACATACCTACCTGCTTTCGAGTTCTCTCTCTCTCTCTTGCTAGATATCTATTTATTTTCATCTTTATAATTTGTAAATTTTAAAGAATTTTAATCAGTATTTCAGTCTGATATGTGACCAGTCCTACCATGGTTATTCTTGCATGTTTATAAGACTTGTCGAAATGTATTATTATAAATTTGTTTATAAAACTGCTTTTCCCCCACCTCTGAAATACTGCCAAGCATATTTTGTTTTAGTGTAGACAGTCATGGAAGTGAGAGATATCTTGTCTAATACTTAGAAAGCATTGTGTTCTAATGTATTAACAATTAACTAACATTATTCGGGCATGCAAGTGTCTTTGTTAAAGTTAGGTGAAAGACATTGTGTTCTAATGTACCAAAAATTAACTAACATTATTCAGGCATGCAAGTGTCTTTGTTAAGTTAGGTGAAAGACATTGTGTTCTAATGTACCAAAAATTAACTAACATTATTCAGGCATGCAAGTGTCTTTGTTGAAGTTAGGTGAAAGACATTGTGTTCTGATGTGTCAACAATTAACTAACATTATTCAGGCATGCAAGTGTCTTTGTTGAAGTTAGGTGAAAGACATTGTGTTTTGATGTACCAAAAATTAACTAACATTATTCAGGCATGCAAGTGTCTTTATTAAAGTTAGGAGAAAGAGCTTTTTGTCCAAATATTTCCGGTTCAGGATAAATATAATTGAAAACTGTTATACCAAACGGTTTCTGTTCCTAAGCATTTCTCAGTTATTACATACAAGCTAGAAAATCAGTTTTACAGATACAGAAGGAGCTTATTTTATACGTGTAAACTAATCTACAAGTTCTATAACTATTTGTTTTATATAATTATGTGATTATTAATTTCTCTTATGATCTCTATCTCCAGTGCAAAACAGTGAATGTTATAGAAGTATTTGTATTGGAAATAAAAAGGGTCCTACAGTACCATTATCATCTATGTATATGTCACATTGGTTTGTTACTTACCATGAAAGTTCGTTAAAACTATGCTGAACCACTAACGATTACCACAAGACAGTTAACGATAACACAAGTCCAACTTTCTGGATCAGAATATTATTATTTTACGTTTAATCCCCTCCCACCTCCGATATTATCCTCTATTTGAGAAATAAACATTTGTGAAAAAGTTACTGAACCTTTGAAACCCAGATATGTTGTTGTTTTTCTAAAAAATAATAATTAAGTATAAGGACGTCATGCCCAGCAGGAAGTAATTTTTCACTTTACCATGAAGTATAGAAGAATGGATGTAATGACATTATAGGCTATAAGTCATCACAACAAATTGCACGTCTGTATTTCTGACAAGTGAAAAATTTCTTTCTTTCAAGTGCTTCCTAGGAAAGGAACGCACGAAATCAATTTTCTTTATTATCTGGAAGCCAAAGTCATTATTTCCCGCCATTCTTTCTGCGAATAATGCCTTAGAAACTGCCTTTATTTGGTTCATAATTTCTACTGCATATTTTTTTTTGTAATTAGACTCTGTAATTCGTGTATGCAGTTGTGCCTTTTTACCTGTTAAATTCACTAACATCAGAAAATAGTCCAGCTTTGATACTTCTTTCAATGCACATTTCAATTACTCAAGTTATAAGCTAAGGCAGCTTAGCGATTGTTTCAGAATATTCACATACAGTTACACAAGGGCTATCTGCGATTAGCTGTCTCTAAGTTAATAGTGATAGACTAGAGGGAACTCAGCTAGTGAACACCACCCACCGCCAACTCTTGGACTACTCTTGTCTGATCAAATAATAGGGTTTTACCGTTACTCTTATAATGCACCTAAAGTCCCAAAGCGTGGAGCATATAAAACCCTCGGATTAACAATCAGGGCACGCTAACCACTAGGCCACGATTGGCCTACTGAGTGATAGAAGACTGATTTACACTTTAATACTAATTAGTTGTAAAATCTAAAAAACTTTAAGTGTGTTTAGTAGAAAAGAGTAACGACAACAAGAACATTTTCTATCTCGTGAACGCATACACTAAGAGTATTCAGCATGCTATTGGCTGCATATAATTCTGAATGCAATATTTTCTCAGGAATCTTAGGTCCATCGGTGTTGTGTATTCAAAAAGGTGAAAGA